ACAGGCTGGAGAGCTGGGCGGAGAGGAACCTCCTGAAGTTCAACAAAGGCAAGCGCAAGGGCCTGCACCTAGGCAGGAATAATCCCATGCACCAGTACAGGCTGGGGACTGACCTGTTGGAAAGTAGCTCTGCCGAGAAGGACCTGGGAGTGCTGGTGGACAACAAGTTAAACATGAGCCAGCAGTGTGCCCTTGTGGCCAAGAAGGCCAATGGTCTCCTGGGGTGCATTAGGCAGAGTGTTGCCAGCAGGACGAGGGAGGTGATCCTGCCCCTCTCCTCAGCCCTGGGGAGGCCTCACCTGGAGTCCTGTGTCCAGTTCTGGGCTCCCCAATACAAGAGAGACATGACGCTACTGGAGAGAGGCCAGTGGAGGGCTACAAAGATGATTAGGGGACTGGAGCATCTCTCCTGTGAAGAAAGACTGCGAGAGCTGGGCCTGTTCAGCCTGGAGAAGAGAAGACTGAGAGGTGATCTGATCAACGTGTATAAGTGTCTGAAGGGGGAGTGTCAAGAGGATGAGGCCAGCCTCTTCTCCGTGGTGCCCAGCAACAGGACAAGAGGCAATGGGCACAAACTGAACCACAGGAAGTTCCATCTGAACCTGAGAAACAACTTCTTCACTGTGAGGGTGACTGAGCATTGGAACAGGTTGCCCAGAGAGGTGGTGGAGTCTCCTTCGCTGGAGATATTCAAAAGCCGTCTGGATGTGATCCTGGGCAATCTGCTCTAGAGGACCCTGCTTGAGCAGGGAGGTTGGACTAGATGATCTCCAGAGGTCCCTTCCAACCTAAACGATTCTGTGATTCTGTGTGATTCTGTGATTTACACCTCACCCTTCAAATTCGGCCTGAATATAAACTAGCTTGGAGCAATACTGGAAAACTGTGTGGCAGGGACCTCTGAAGCACCGCTAGCTGAAGACCCCCTTTCTGCTGGGCAGGAAGGCAAGTCCTGCCTGTGCCTTCTGCTTAACATAGCTTCTTTATAAAGGTTTATGGTAGTTCCTGAGCGCTCGCCACTTAGTGACGTGAGTGAAATAACTTCAGTTTTTCATACCCTTTCTGTTCTCTCACCTCCTTCACGTGGACAGAGCAGGTATGCCAAGCAGCCAGTCTCCTTTTCACAGGATTCATCGGAGGATTTTGTTCGTGGGCGGGGGCGGGGAAAGGATTCGCTATTGCCGTTGGGGGGGAGACGGGCGGAGCAGAAGATGACCAGCAGGACAGCGCAGTGCCAGCCGCCCCGCACGCCCCGGAGGAGCCCAGGCGACACCGGCGGGGCGGAACCGCCCCCGGGGGGC